AACAAAATATATGCCCTCTCAACAATTTCTACGTTAAACATATGCTTTTTCAGATAAAAGACAATTTAATTTTACCAGAAACCTAGCTTATTTTATATCCCAAGTCTCTAACTAGCTTTCCAATTCCATCCAGTAAGGGCCCTTAAAGATTTTTTTTAATGAAATGCTGAATGTTCTGAATTACTAAGCTCATGTTAGTTTACAGCAAGATTGAATTGCTTTTGCACCTTTCTCAAAAACAAGTTGGGCATGTTTGTGTGGGTCTTTTTCTGGGTTTTCTATTTTATTCTGTTGATTTGTCTATCCCTCTGCCAACACCATACTGTCTTAATTACTGTAGCTATATAAAAAACCCAAAACCGAACCTGTTGCCGTCGAGTTGATTCCGACTCATAGCGACCCAAAGAGTTTCAAAGGAGCGCCTGGTGGATTCGAACTGCCGACCTTTTGGTTAGCAGCCGTAGCTCTTAACTAGTACACCAGCAGAGTTTCCATAGCTACATAGTAAGCCTTAACATCAGTTAGAGAGATTTGCTTTACAAGATAAATTCAAGACCTACTTAGCTACCAACAGCAATTATACACTTTCCGTTGTCTTACTATAGAAAATGGGAATAATAAGTTTATAGATGAGAAAGCCATAGTGAACCCATGAGAATCTTACTCTCCTAATTGGCAGAAAGGTGACTAGAAATTGTTGTACGTATTCCTTTTCTCCTTTGTTAACATGGGAAGCTGAAGCTTTATGTGAATGACTTGCTCAGGAGTTATAGAGTGATACAGATAAAGCTAAGAAAAGAACAGATTTGATAGCTTTTGTTTTAACTGCCCCATATCAGGGAGTTAGAAAGAACTCTTAGCCATGTAAATAACAGTTTGTGGCTACAGTGGTCTGACTTTTTTAAAAAATTCTTTCTCTGTTTTGTTTTTTAACAGATACATCAGCAGGTTGCAGGTGAACATGGCCTCTAGGTAAATCCTGCCCCTTGTTGAAATTTAGTTCCAACAGATTATTCATAGTGTGGATTTGGAATATTTTCCAGAAAAACAAGTTTTGTTTGGTTCTGTTCTGGATTTATTTTTTCTTTTTGTAGAAGAGAAGAAAGATGCTTAAACAGGTTCTTTATGCTGAATAATTGTGATGCTTGAGAATGGTCATCTACCTTATTTAAGTTAAGTGGATTTTAAATGTCAGAGCCAATTCTAGACAGTTTTTTCTTGGTCAAATAAAATTTTATTAAAACCGTATCATTGTGGAGTTTTTAATCCATTTATTATGGAGCCAGTTAGAGTAAGTCTTTGCCTCCTGAGTTGCAACTTTTTATATGTGTTAGTAGTAAAGACACAAACTGACAAGTTGTAGTGTTTAGTGGGAGAATATGTAAAGCATTCCATAAAGCCTATTAGAACCCTGAATTCAAACCTGCCTTAACTGTGGTATCCTACTTCCTATTTTGCAGTTTCTATTTCAAAAGCTGGGAGCACTTTTGAATGTACATGTATGTGTATTTTAATTATTTATACCTTGAACCGTTCTGTGCCTCCATCTGCTGTACCTTCTTCATCTCAGAGTGATCCAGCTTGGCAGGTGTCTCAGCCATCTAGTGCTGCTCCAACAGAAATACCACCAGTGGATGGTTTTACAAAGAGAAGTTTATTCTCTCACAGTCCAGTAGGCTACAAGTCCAAATTCAGGGCATCAGCTCCAGGAGAAGGCTTTCTCTCTCTGTTGGCTCTGGAGAAAGGTCCTTGTGATGCATCAGTCTTTCCTTGGTCTGGGAGCATCTCAGCGCAGGAACCTCAGGTCCAAAGGACATGCTCTGCTCCTGGCACTACTTTCTTGGTGGTATGAGGTTCCTATGTGTCTCTGCTCACTTCTCTCTTTTATATCTCAAAAGAGATTGCATTAAGATGCTATCTAATCTTGTCAACCTCATCAGTATAACCTCATCACAGTGATAGAATTTACAACACATAAGGAGATCATATATAATCTCATCATAGTGCTAGAGTTTACAACACATAAGGAAATCACACCAGATACCGCAATCATACAATACTGGGAATCATGACCTAGCCAAGTTGCTATATTTTTTGGGGGACACAGTTCAGTCCATGACAGCAGGGCAGGTATGTGTGTGTGTAAAACAAGCTATAAGATTGTCAAGACGAGTTGTTAATTCAGAAATATGAGCTATTTATATCGATAGGTAAAGTTTTTTTTTTTTTTTTAATTGTACTTTAGATGAAGGTTTACAGAACAAATTAGCTTCTCATTAAACAGTACACATATTGTTTTATGACTTTGGTTAACAACCCCACAACATGTCAACACTCTCCCTTCTTGACCTTGTTGAAGCTTTATTACCAGCTTTCCTGTCCCCTCCTGCCTTCTAGTCCTTGTCCCTGGGCTGTTGTGCCCCTTTAGTCTCGTTTTGTTTTATGGGCCTGTCTAATCTTTGGCTAAAGGGGGAACCTCAGGAGTGACTTCGTTACTGAGCTAAAAGGGTGTCTGGGGGCCATACTCTCAGGGTTTCTGCAGTCTCAGGCCAGTAATTCTGGTCTTTTTTTGTAAGTTAGAATTTAGTTCTACATTTTTCTCCAGCTCTGTCCAGGACCCTCTATTGTGATCACTGTCAGAGCAGTCAGTGGTGGTAGCTGGGCACCATCTAGTTGTACCGGCCTCAGTCTGGTAGAGGCCCTGGTAGTTGTGGTCCATTAGTCCTTTGAACTAATCTTTCCCTTGTGTCTTTAGTTTTCTTCATTCTCCCTTGCTCCTGAAGGAGTGAGACCAGTGGAGTATCTTAGATGGCTGCTCACAGGCTTTTAAGACCCCAGACACTACTCACCAAAGTAGGATGTAGAACATTTTCTTTATTAACTGTGTTATGCCATTTGAGCTAGATGTTCTTCAAGACCATGGTCCCCACAGCCCTTAGTCCAGTAATTCAGTCCCTCAGGGCGTTTAGATTTGTCTGTGGAGCTTCCATGACCTTCCCCTGAACAAGCTGTGCTGGCTTACCCAGTATTGTGTACTATCTTATTTACCCTTCACGAAAGTTACCGCTTATCTGTTGTCTTCGATAGGCAAAGTTTTGAGACAGTAGATGAGAGGTATTCAGTGTGCCAGACTTTGTACTAGAAAACATGGAAGTTTTAAAGTGAAAAATATTTTTTATCTAACACAAAGCTTTTTAAGTGATGAGATTAGGATATCTGTACTAAGACATACCTGGGGCACAGTACTAAATTGTCTCTCTGATAATTGCTTCACAAATGGAGTCATTTGCTCCACAGTTTGACTCATAGGTGAGCTCTGAACCATGCTATGTGCAGAGTGGTAAGTGGCAACTGGAAAGTTGAACTGGAGAAGCAGCAATGCAGCTGATGGGGCTGGGCAGTGGGTCACAGAATGGCATGGGGGCAGCAAACGGGATGCCAGCAAGCTCTAGCTAGACACCACTTCTCCCACCCATGGTCCACTTTGCACTCTGATGAGCTGACGTTTTCAAAAAGTGTTGTGCATTTGCTATATGTCACATACTGTTATGCATCCTCACATTTGTCATCCAGTCTCCCTAACCTGTGAGACAAGGATTACTTTTCCCTTTGTATAAAGGGAAACAGAAGCTCTGAAAGATAATGTGGCTTTTCCAGGGTCATAAGGCACAGTAGCTACAAAGTAGCAATCAAGCCAGGTCTTTGGGATTTCAAATCTGGTTGTCTTTACATTAGAGTACAGTTCTAGAATCAGTTGCAACTAATGGTTTCTATTTCTTCCCCATCTACCCCCCCTCACACCTCCCCTAGACACAGTGAAAGCACCACACTTGAGTGTAGGCTGCTTGTGTGACACGAGCAAGTGTGCAGTAGTGAGTAGTGCTCCATTTTCCCCAGACCTGCTGTCAAGCCACAAGTGCACCTCTGCTTCCTTCATACCACCTCCCTTGAGCTCTTTTTCCATCTCCTGGCCATAGGTCCTTTGCTATAGTTTTGAAAGAGGCCTCCCACCCCTCAGCTGGAGAGCAGTGAAGGGCTGACGAGCAATAGTTGGATGAAGAAGATAGCCATTTACTCAAATATTTGGCATGCACCTGTTACGTGTTAGCCCCTGGGGATACAGTGATGAACAAGACAGACACTGTCCCTGCCTTCGCGGAGTTAGGCATATAGAAGTAATTACAAAATTATCATGGTGCCAGTGCTATGAAGGAGAGGTACAGGGTGTGATAAAGAGTGTACAATGGGGAAAATACCTCACCACAGTACTTCTAACTCTGGGAGAAGAGAGGGGTAGAAGGCCATGGAAAGCCCTGGTTGCACAGTGGTTAAAGCATTCGGCTGCTAACCGAAAGGTTGGCATTTGGAACCCACCAGCCCCTTCACAAGAGAAAGATGTAGCAGTCTGCTTCAGTAAAGATTACAGCTTTGGAAACCCTGTGGGGCAGTTCTACTCTGTCCTACAGGGTCACTAGGAGTCGGAATCAACTCCACGGCACACAATAACAACAACAAGGCCATGGAGAGGGGCACATGCCTTCCCAGGTCCTCTTTGTGGGTAGCCTCTTGCCTTCTTGAGTCTGTTCTTGGCTGAATAAATACTATGAGAGTGCTGGAGCCACAAAGACTTAAGTGTCACTGCCCAGCCTGTCCACCCCCAACTGGAGCTCTGTGGGCCTTGGAGACTCAAGATATTTGTGTATACTCAAAGAGACAATACATTTTGACAACCTGGAGGACCTTTGAGTTCATCTAGTCTGCTCCCTCATCTTACAGCTGGGACTGGTAACAGCTAACCTAGCATCACACAAGTGGTGGTGTGCAGGACTGGAATCCAAGTGAGGCGGAATGAGTGCCAGCACACCAGTCTGCCAAATAACAATGAGGACAAATGTGTGGGGCACATGGTGCTTGAGTGTTAAGTTCAGCCAGCTGAGGCATGAATGACTGGGGGGGGGGTATGTACAGAAGAGAGACAGGAAGCTGGGCATCAGAATGGTCTAATAGAAAGCCATGTGCTCTGGCATCGAAATGCCATTATGGATCTTTAGACACCCAGGCTTTCCCAAAGAAAAACAGGGATGCACAAATTGGTGAAGCTGACAAGTGAATGTGTATAGATGCTGAGAAATGTCCACGTTGAAAAACGACAATTTTGAATTTTCATAGTCTAATAGAACACCAATCTTCTTTGGGGCAACTGTTACTCTTATATCTGGAGTCATCTTGTTGTGCAGAAATTCATACTTATGCCTGAAAATCAAATGTTGATATAACAACACTTCAGAAATTCTGTAGACAGGTTATTTATAGAACATTTCATATTAGTTTTATTCAAATACTCCTTTATTGTGTTATTTTATTAAATGACTACCAAAATAATAGGACTTTTCTGAAACTATAATAACAGGACATTTCCAAAACTATACTCTGAACCATATCTCTTTACTGAAATTTGTCCTATGAAATGTACATTTTTAAACTCCATTTGTTCTTGAGCAACCTCTTACCCTAAGAAACTGACATACAGTATTAGAAATTCATTACATCAAAGTTTGCATAAAAATGGTCAGCAGTTCGAACCTATGAGCCACTTCGAACCCACCAGCTGCTCGAAAGAAAGATGATGGCAGCTTGCTTCGGTAAAGATTACAGCCTTTACAGGCTTACAGGACAAGATTACGCGATAATTTTTTTTTTTAAATTGTGCTTTAAGTGGAAGTTTCAGTTCGAGTCGGTTTCTCATACAAAAATTTATATACACATTGCTGTGTGACCCTAGCTGCTCTCCCTATAATGTTGACAGCACACTCCTCCTTTCCACCCTGGACTTCCCGTGTCCATTCAACCAGATCCTGTCCCTTTTTGCCTTCTCATCTCACCTCTGGACAGGAGCCGCCCGTTTAGTCTCATGTATCTACTTGAGCTAAGAAGCCCACTCTTCACGAGTATCACTGTATGTCCCGTAGTCCAGTCTAATCTTTGTGTGAAGAGTAGGCTTCAGGAATAGTTTCGGTTCTCGGCTAACAGAAAGTCCAGGGGCCATTTCTTCCGGGGTCCCTCCAGTCTTAGTCAGACCAGTAAGTCTGGTTTTTTTTTTGTTTTGTTTTGTTTTGTTTTGTTTTTTAACTAGAATTTGAGTTCTGCATTCCACTTTTCTCCTGCTCCATCAGGGATTCTGCTGTGTTCCCTGTCAGGGCAGTCATTGTGGTAGCAGGGCACCATCTAGTTCTTCTGGTCTCAGGCTGATGGAGTCTTTGCTCTAGGTGGGTTGGGACCAATTGATGCATCTTAGCTGGTCGCTCGCTAGCTTTTAAGACCCCAGAGGCTACTCAACAAAGTGGGATGCAGAACATTTTCTTAGTAAACTTTGTTATGCCAAGGAGAGGGATTGCTGGATAGTATGGTACTTCTAGCTTTTTTAGGAAGCGCCAAATCGATTTCCAAAGTGGTTATACCATTTTACATTCCCACCAGCAGTGTCTAAATGTTCCAATGTCTCCATAAGCTCTCCAACATTTATTATTTTGTGTTTTTTGGATTAATGCTCACTCCTTGTTGGGGTGAGATGGTATCTATTGTAGTTTTGATTTGCATTTTTCTAATGGCTAATGATCATGAGCATTTCCTCATGTATCTGTTAGCCACTTGAATGTCTTCTTTGGTGAAGTACCTGTTCATATCCTTTGCCCATTTTTTAATTGGGTTATTTGTCTTTTTGTTGTTGAGGTTTGTTTTTTTTTTTTTGTGAAGTCTTTTGATGAGTATAAGTGTTTGATTTTTAGGAGCTCCCAGTTATCTAGTTTCTCTTCTAGTGTTTGCACATTGTTAGTAATGTTTTGTATTCTGTTTATGCCATGTATTAGGGCTCCTAGAGTTGTCCCTATTTTTTCTTCCATGATCTTTATTGTTTTAGAACAAGATAAGTTTTAAACATTTGGATTTCAAGGTTCAGATTTGTAAGTCATTTATAGTAAAGGCATTTGAAACAGAAAAACTGAACAAATGGGTCTTTTGGAGTCAACTGTTCTGTGTACAAGTACTCTGAGGCAACCAGTTCTTCAACTTTCAAACTGAGTGGGGGGCAGGTAGGGGTATCCAGTGGGCCTGTCACCACTCATTACTGTATAGCACCAGCACCCTTTAACCATGCACTATATCCCATGTGCTTTGAAAAATGGCTGTAGCCAAATATAGCCACAGGAATTTCCTAACCCTGCTACCTACAGACATTTGAAGAACTCTGTGTGCCATCATGCTGGTCCAGACTACTGGGATGAACATTTGGAATCTGATCTAAACAAATGTGTCAGAGCAGACCAGCCTGTCTCCATTCCAGTTCACCTGATTGTCCTCTTAGCTTCTTTTCTAAACTGAGCAGGCACTAGAAGCTAAATGGTGCCTTCCCTCCCACCACCAACAGAGATTGAAGCTATGAACCAAAAATATGAGTGAGCTAGGATACCTCACATTCACCCTCTGCTCCTAAAACATATACATTCCTATACCTTTCCAAGATAAGACCACAAGAAACTTCTGCACTAGCGCTTGGCCTGTTTCTTTGCCTTTCCTTTTCCATTCTTCTAGCTTTGTTTCCACCACTCTTCTATTGTCTTATAACCTACATCCATCCTTCCCACTAGACACAGACTCCTACTCTCCTCCTTTGTGCTGTCAGCTTTTCTGTCCCTTGGTCTTATCTTTCTAAAGGAGAGAAGACTTTTTGATTTTTAGTGTTATTTCAGGGAAGAATCCCCAAATAAAGCATATGGCTCGGTAAATAGGAATATCTTAAGTCCTCTAAACTACATCTGAGGTTTAGTAGAGTCCATTACAGTTTAAAAATATTATGGGGGGAAAATTGGTCTTCCCACTTATCTTGGACATGAGAAATAAGGGAAGATCACGGGCACAGAACATTGTAGGCGAAACATTAAAAGGATTCAGCAAGTTAGCAAGGGTCAGAGGCTCCATAATACAAGGGGGTGGGGGTAGGAGGGAGAGCTGGGAAAGTAGTGTTGTTTTTTGTTTTTCAGTCTTCAAGGCGAAGGAGGGTTGTAACCATAGCCTTCCAAATCTGAAAAAGTTGTCCATTGGCCTGGACATCATGAGATTTTCCCCAGCTTTATGGATCTACTCCAGAATGGTTTCTGGTGTGTAAAGACAGAGTGCTTAGCCACAGAAGCAAATCAAAATTAGATACAGCCATTAAGCCTCTTACCCATATTTACTTACAGAGGTGGAATTGGGCCTTCAAGTGAAATTGTATCCATTTAGCAACACTGAAGCTGAGCATAAGTGAACAATCAATCACTTAATGGTTAAGAATTTTGTCTTTGGAGCTAGACTTCCCCGGTTTGAATCCAAGCTCTGATTCTTGTGTTGAGTGGGTTACCTAACTCCTATGAGGTGTAGCTTTCTTATTTTTAAAATAGGATAATACAATTGTGAGAAGTAAATGAGATAATGCATGTAAGGGTGTAGAACAATGCTTGGCACATAATAAGCTCTCATGAATTTTAGCTTTTTAAAAAGAAGAGCAGCCCAAAGCTGCTCTTTCTCTTCTCATCTGGACTTTAAGGGAAAGTGGTTGGAAACAAGTCTTGAAATACCTTAGAATGTTTTGTAAAACATAATGTGGTCCTTAATTATTGTTAGTGAACACCTCTCGCTCTAATCTTTCAGAAATAATTTTTAAACTTGGGTATACAGATGTTACTTTACCTTGATGATGCAAATGTATGCCTCATGCACCAGGAGTGACAGTTTGCGCCCAGGTCCTCCTGTTTAGGGACATCTTCAAAGGCCACACCAACAGTGTAGTCCAAACACTCATCCACCTCGACCTCCCAGTAATGGTGCCCTCGGACTGGAATTAGATTTCCCATGACAGCAACACACCTGGTTTAGAAAGTGGAAGCATGTATGATTTGGGGTGACCCAAGCCTGGCTGTGCAGGTGAGTGACATCAGCTGCTGGAGTCAGTCAATAGGTGGTCTACAGATGTGGACATAGGTGTTTCTGAACACTGTTCACTTGTAAAGCAGCAAACTCAGCTTTCAAAGCTCACCTTACGGATAACTAAAGATTAGAAGAGAATTATTACGCTGTTTGGTAATGGGACAGGAGGAGACGTTACACCAGTAGAAAAGGCTTTGTTTGCTTTAAAAAAATGATTGGGACTTTTATAGTAACAAAAGTCAAGGTTTGGTTCACTTGTTCATAAAAAAGAAAAAGGTCGAACTCTTAGAGAATGCAACACAGTCAAGGTAATCATACGCTTAAAGTTCATGAATTGGCCAGCCCTTGCTTATGGTACAGAGCTAGCATGGAGGGTCTTTGAAGTAATATTTATATTAGGGATGACTCCAGGCAGAGGACAAGCACTCAGATTCCAGAGGCAGATCCAAGAAGAGCAAAATAGCAAATTCCTTACTCACAAATCATCAAAGCCTAACTTCAGGGTTCAACGGGGAACAAATATACTTACAAATGTCATAGTTATGTTTTATTCTGTAACAGTAAAGCCCTCTACCGAGGAAGGTTTTGGAGACCAGATCCTATCAGTATCACCGAAGTGAAAGTTCTGTCTTCTTCAGGAGACTTCCTTATTAGCCAGACTTTATGTAGCCCCCAAAATCCCTAGAAAGATTTGTTCAGCTGTCATCAAAATATTCTCTCTACTCCCCCTGAATTCTCAATACCAAAGCAAAGCTTTGGAAAGGAGGTTTCTTCCATGTCCCCCAAGAATTGTCCATGGTCATAGTCCCTGAAAGGTCTTAAGTCTCAGTAACATCCCTGATTACGGTACAAGTCTAGGAAGGGTCTTTGAGGGTCTGGGAAAATCCTGTTCTGAGCAATGCTCAGACCGTGCTCTGGCCCAACCAAGTGGGCTTCACAGTGACCCGGCTGGACCACCATGAGGGTTGATGAGATGACTCTGAGCCATAATTGTGTTTTACTTTTTAAAATAAAGGGGAGGCTTTGTGGTGCAGTGGGACAGGCAGAGCTTTGGAGTCAGGGGAACCGAGGTGAATCTGAATCCCCTGTATCAGGTGGTTGTATAACTTGTTGCACATTAGCTCCTCCATCTCAGTTTTCTCATCTATAAAATGAGGTCATCTCTATTCCAAGCACCACATTTCCACCAACTGTTTCAAATCTAGAATGTCCAACACCAAAATCATTACGTTACCACTTCTCACCTACCAAAGTTTGTGTTTGGGGTGTGTGCGTGTGGTGGTGGTGGTGGGTGGGGAGGAGTACATACTCTTGCTCGTGTTTTTCCCATTTTGACTGACTGATACCAAAGATCAGTGACCCAGTAACCCAAGGCAGAAAACTAAGGAATAATGTAGTGGTTACAGGCTCAGGTTCTAGTTTAATCCCAGCTCTAATCCTTAGTAGCAGTATGTCTTTGGGCAAGTTACCTAACCTCTCTGTGCCTCAGTTTTCTCATCTGTCAAATGGGGCTGATAATGGTATCAACTTCATGGGATTGTTGTGAGGATTAAATGAGACAATCCATGTAAAGCCTTCATCTAGCACTTGGGAAGCACTTTGCAAATATGTAATGATATGGTCCCGACTCATCCTTCTCCCTCTTGTCCCATAACCAGTTGGCTACCTCGCCTTCTTGGTTTTATGTCCTAAATATTTCTTGAATCCATTTGCTCCTCTCATCCATACCCTCCTCCCTGGTCTCCTTGCTTCGCATCTGCCTGTCTTCCTCCCTCCCCAGATCATACTTCACCATCTTTCTGAAACTTAAATCTGATTATGTCATTCCCCGGCTTTAATCCTCCAATAATTACCATCACAGTAAGGGAGCCCTGGTAGTGCAGTGATTAAGAGCTATGGCTGCTAACCAAAACGTGAGCAGTTTGAATCCACCAGCTGCTCCTTGGAAACACCATAGGGTAGTTCTACTCTGTCCTATAGGGTTGCTGTGAGTCTGAATCAATTTGACAGCAATGGGTTTGGTTCTTTGGATTTAAAGGATAAAATCCAAACCTTTTTCACTGGACTTTATCCATCTTTCCTGCCTCATCTTCCACTGCTTCCCATTATCGGCCCTATACTGCAGACTTCCCGTGGCTCTCCAAACATATGATCTTTCTGGCATCCTTCTTTGGTACATGCTGTTCTCTCTGCCTGGAATGCCTTTCTCTGCCTTGTTGCCCTAGACAATTCCAATTTATCCCTCAAGACCTAGCCCCTCCAAGAAGCCTTCCTCCTTGACAATGCCCTGTCCTTATCTTTTATGTGAGTTTCGTTTACATAGGTGTCTCCCTCCCTTGACTTCCTGAGCCTCAGTTGGGAGGGACTGTATCTTCATCTCTCTACCCCCACACACAGCACAGCGTTTCACAGGGTCACAGGGCAACAGATATACTGGTAAAGGGACATTAAAATGGGACACTTTAACTCAGCTCAGCTGAACACCAAAAAGCCAAGAACAAAACAATAGGTGGTAAGTACTCCCATAATATTCAAGGTGAGATACTAGACCACCTAAGCAGGACTTGCAAAAGAGGTGGTCAAAAACTGGTTTTGCAACTTTTAGTGCAACACCTAAAGGTTGAAGTTGAAGGCGGTTGAGGCTGAGTCTGCCCAGACAGCTTCTTATTCACACAAGGAAAGAGTGACATAGCAGAGGCCTGGTCAAAGGTGTGTCTTTTCTGGAGACCAGCTGTGAATGGAACCAACCATCAGGATGTTGTCCCAGTGTTGTTTTGAGGGAATGCTGTCCAAAAAAGTGCTTCCTGTGAGGGTCCAGGAGACCTCAGCAGAAAGAGCTCAGAGGTGCAGTGCTGGATGCAGAAGCTGATGGGTTGTGAGGGGCCACCAGAGGGAGAGGGACTGCCTATGTTAATAGTTGCAGCCAGAGGAGCCCAGCAGGGGAATTTGTGAGGAGCCCAAGAAGGGGCCCACAAGAGAAAGAGTCAGCTTTAAACACCTGCATTGGTGCCAGTCATGTAAGACCCATACTGCCATTCAGCCCTCTTTCCCCGTGCCCAACCCTGGGTTGAATGGGCAGAGGGAAGAAAGGATAAAGCTTTTTCCCACTGTACCTTGTAGAGTCCTGCTACCTCACCCTAACACTTACATATAAACCAAAAAAACAAACTTGTTGCCGTCGAGTCGATTTTGACTCATAGTGACCCTATAGGACAGAATGGAACTGCCCCATAGGGTTTCCAGGGAGCAGCTGGTGGATTTGAACTGCTGACCTTTTGGTTAGCAGCCAAACTCTTAACCACTGTGCCACCAGTGCTCCAACACTTATATATAGTAAGCATTTAACACATGTGCAGTAAAAAGGCCAGCAGGAAGCCAGGGTCAGAGGAAGAGCCAGTGGAGGAGCAGTCTATGATCCAGGCAGGGGGCCTGAACCGGTTTTCCATAAGTGGTACTTCCAGCCTCCATAGGAGAGCCCTTTTCTTAGATAATCCTCTGACTCTAACATCAACCTACCAAGAAGTCTTCTTGCCCTGGCTACCAGGAAGCTGAGAGCTGATTTTAATGTGCACCTTGGAAAATGAATTAGCGCTTGAAGTTAACATGTCTGTATTCTTCTTTTTCTTCCATTGCTTTGATTTTTCTATTTTAACATTGTATATTTACCCCTTACTCTAAGTCTCTTATAAGTTATTGGAAAGAAGGTATATGTCAATCATTTCAACCTTGATCGTCAAGTTCTAACAATAGCTACAGAGCTACAGAGACAGACCAGCATCTTTGGTGGGTCATCCCTCCCTCAGGTTCATGCACCAGAGCAGTGATGGTTTTAACTACCAGCGTTGGTATGGGCTTACTCCATTGCCAGGTTTTCATAAAGACCACTGGGATAGGCATTAGGAGCCTTGGTCCTTGTTTCTATTCTTCCACGACCTGAAAGCTTGACATCAATTTCATTGCTTCATGACCTCTCAGCCTCTCGTGGCTCTGGCAGCTGAGGACATCATCCTGTGAGGCCACAAGGTTACCCCTTTGCCTGCACCAGCCAAATGTCTTCGGCATGTCCTCTCTTGCCTCCCCTGCCTACCAAGCTCCTATCTCCTCATTCATTCTGGTATTCCTTGTTCCCTTTGGAGCCCTGGTGGCTCAGGGGCTAAGAGCTATGGCTGCTAACCAAAAGGTCAGCAGTTCAAATAGGGTTGCTATGAGTTGGAATTGACTGGACGGCACTGGTTTTTTTTTTCGTTTTTTTTTTTTTTTTTTGGTTTGTTCCCTTTATCTGTTTGCCATAACCTGATTTTACCTGAATAACAGTGTATATTCGAGAAGTCCACAGTACCTGGTAAACCGGGTGTAGCTGGGTAGCTGTTCCCTTGCTGGGGTTTTCCTTTCGCTTCGTACAATTGTAAACCCATCTTCAGAAATGGTCAGCCAGGGATGGCAGGTGTCCTTGTTTAGGTGAAAGTAGCTGCCTGTGAGGGGAGGAAATACACAGCTGATCCCCAGACAATCATTTCACTGCTTTCTCAGCATTAGCTCTCCATGTGGGCGGAGGGTTTTACTATACCTTGCTGGTTTATCTTCCTGAATGATACAGATAAACCTGGACTTTGCATAATAATAACAACCTTATTAATAATGATGACAGTTAACATAAACTGAGAACTTATTATGTGCCTAGTACTGTGCTACAGGAGCCCTGGTGGCACAGTAGTTATGTGCGTGGCCGTTAACTGAAGGGTCGAAGGTTCGAACCCACCAGCCGCTCTGTGGGGGGAAGATGTAGCAGTCGACTTCCTAAAGATTAAAGCCCTGGAACCCTATGCAGCAGTTCTACCCTGTCTACAGGTTTGCTATAAGTCGGAATCGATTGGATGGCAACGGGTTTTTTTTGGTTACAATCTCTTTCCTTCTCCCTCGTGACCCTAAGTTAAAGTTGAATTTTGCTAATCTCTGTCAAATTGATAATTGAGAATTCCGTTGATTTCCATTTCCCTTAGCAGGTAGGTTACAAATTCTTGTCCATGTGCAGGCATTTATAGCACAGCATTCAAGAGCACAGCCTCTGGAATCAGAAGGTTTGAGCTTCAAATCTGAGTTCTACCATTTACCAGCTAATTTCTTAACCATCCTGTGTCTCAGTTTCCTCGGTTACAAAATGGAAATAATAATATCTGTTTCCAAGTGTAACTGTGAAGATTGAATGAGGTAAGACTTGGACGCTGCTTACTTAGCACAGTACCCAAAGAGGGGAAAAAAACCCATTGCTGTAGAGTCAATTGCGACTCATCGCAACCCTATAGGACAGGGTAGAATGGCCCCATAGGGTTTTCAAGGCTATAATCTTTACAGAAGCAGACTGACACATCCTTCTCCCACAGAGTGGCTTGTGGGTTCAAACCGCCAACCTTTTGGTTCACAGCCTAGCACTTACTCACTGCACCACCGGGGCTCCTTATTTTGGAACATATAATTCATTATTGCCTTTTAGCCAGGCTCTTCTTTTCTCAAGTTTGTATTAGAATAGGAGACCTCCCATTTTATCACTTCTTGTTTTCTCAAATGCTAGTTCACAGCATTGCCATCAAGCTGCTCACAACTATTTTCAAGACTTGATGCTGCTGGAAATTTGATCTGCTACCAAGCTGACTTGCGAGGGGGAGATACCTTCCCACTTTGCCACTGACACAACATTTGGCCCTTACTGCCTGTTCTCTAGTCCCAAACAACCATTTCTGCATATATAATGGTTTCGCTGATTCATGTTCATTCACTTTTTTTTCATAAACACACTTTTAAAAATTATTTGAACAAAGTAATCCACAGATGTCTGAATAATCAAGAGCTGAGAGAGCCAGAATTTGACATTTCAAAACACCAAGTCAGCACAGGAAATTAGCTGTGCCAGCCGGCCAAAGAAAGGCAATATAACATCAAAGAAAAACCTCAGTCCTAATCCTAGCCCTAACCCCTACTGGTTCTGGGACCTTCTATGGCCATTAAATTGGTTCCTCCATCTGTGAAGTGGGGATAATAGATACCTCTCCTGCCAACTTCCTGGCATCAGAAAAGAGGACAAAGTGACACAATGTCCCTCAGTGAAAGATCCTGGTCAAGGCAATGTTGTCTCCTAAGCTCTGGGCCCAGGCTCACTGCTTCCGCTCCTTACCCAGTCAGCCTGAGCTGGATTTGCTCTGTGAGGTATGGAAAGCACTATGCAGCTTCAGCGTGCCCTGGCAAAACTCAGAACCTGGAGATACAGCAGTGCTGGGAGAACTGGAAACGTATGGAATGTTTCTAGCCATGTCTGTGCTAACTTAAGACTGGGACGTGAGATGTGACAGTTCTATGACATGATGATGACCAGTGAGAAGGGGAAAGGAGCTGGAATTGGGGATGTGGACATCCACTAAACCAAACCAAACCGGTTGTCATCTAGTCGATTCAGACTCGTGGCAACCCCACGTGTGCAGAGTGGAACTGTGCTTCATGGGTTTTCAAGACTGTGACCTTTCAGAGACAGATCACCAGGCCTTTCTTTTGACGTGCCTCTGTGTAGGTACAAATCACCAACCTTTTGGTTTGTAGTTGAACGCTTAACCATTTGTGCCACCCAGGGTCTCCTACTAGGGTCAGACAAGTCTAAGTTGGGCCTGTGGGTGGGGAGATGCTTGGGCTGACAGCAGGAACAGGAAGGTGAGCAAAGGCCAATGCTCTTCCTGGGAATTTCATAAAGACCCCACCACGTGTGCTGTTCAACCGGTGTGAGATATGAAGTGGCTGGGCCATCCAGGTCTAGTGTGACAAGCCTCTAGGACACCTGAGGGGTGTGGAGAAAGAAACCCAACAGCCTGGAAGCAAGGAGCCTTGAGTTCTAATACTTGCTCAGCCACTAGCTTGCTTTGTGACTTGGACCTTCAGTCTCCCCATTTGTAATATGAGACCCCAGGGCTTCGAGGGCCCCTGAGCTCCACCCAGCCCTGCCTGGCCTGTGTCCATATCTACGCACATTCATCTATTTCCAGTGGAGGACTAGCAGCACTGGCTGTGTAGCCCAGGGCACAGACCTGTAGTGTGGACTGTAGCAGGCTTACTCCTTGCGCTCAGGCCCCCCAAGTTGAGGGCTCTCACGTAGATCGTGTAGCTCTGCCTGGGCTGCAGCTGTACCAGGGATTCGCAGGTGGGGATGCCCACAACAGACCTGGGTGAGGAAGCAGAGCCGCAGTCACCATGGGGCTGGAGTGGCCCAGGCAGCCAGACCCAAGCTCCAGGCAACTCTTTGTGAAGCTGGAATTTTTAACTCATTCTTGTGCCCCCTGCAGTACAGCCAAACCAAGCACAGCCAAGAGTGTTGACTCCTGGGTGTTTCCTCCCACTTTTCTCACTTCATTGTTACTCCTTGTGTTTGTGTCTATCTCCCCTCCCAAGATCCCCATCCTGGTTTCTCCAGCACTTAGTAGGTGTTTAACGCTGTGTCAGCGGAGGCATGCACACAGTAGAATCTTGTGTGTCCCCATCTGTCTGTTAGGATCATAACCTCCCTGAGGGCAGGGGCCAAGTACTCTTACCTTAGTACAGTGCTGAGCCCACACCAGGCCCTCAGTACATGTCTATGGATAAATGACTATGGTCAGAGCTGAAAGGGCCCAACAGCCCGTTTTACAGAAGCCCACTGCTGTTAATCCCTTGGCCCCCATCCCTCTTGGGAATACTCCAATTTATTCAAATGGTCCTATACAAGAATAAAACCTGTTGCTCTAGAGTAGATTCTGTCTCATGGTAACCCCACATGTTACAGAGTAGAACTGCTCCATAGGGTTTTCTTGGCTGTAATCTTAACAAAAGTAGATCACCAGGACTTTCTTCTGTGGTACCAGTGCGTGGGTTCAAACCACTAATTTTTAAGTTCGCAGTCAAGTGCAAACTATTTGTACCACCCTCGGCCCTTATACAGGTATACACACTCAGAATTGCCATAGATGATATTCTTGTGGTTGCCAACTATTTCAGTTCTGCAGGAAAGAGGTCTTCAGCGTTTATGCCTTTGTTTTCCGTTTATTTTTCTCACTTGCCTGTCAGCTCCATAAAGGAGCCTAGTTCACCAGTAGGTGCTCAATACTTGTTAAATGAACAAATGAATGGTAAACCTTAGTCAGGTTAAAAAAATGAATCTGAGGTTTAACCTTTTATTCATTCACTCATCTTCAAGACTAGCATTCCAGCTACTTCTCACGAAAACTAAGCAAGCTAAAATTAGGTTGGCTAGGGCTGTGTCACAAATTCTGACCTTCTCTGCAGACGCCATACATTTTCTAAGTCCTGTTACTGTGTCAGATGCCAAGGCCTCTGATGTCCAGCAAATGCCCCTTGGGACTCACTCAGTGACACCTGAGGCTTCCGGCGTTTCTGCTTGGGTCAGTTCCACTGTGTATGAGTCGACAGGATTCAGGTTCCCGGATTCCCAGCATATCAGTGCAGCCTCTTCGCAGCTCCTTATCTCTTTGATTTTTAGGATTGGGGGAGAAGGCGCTAAATGCAGGAGAAAGGGAGAGATGAGGAGCCATTGGTGCATTTCCAGCCATTTGTTCAGAGCCAAGGACAAATATCACAGTAACATCCTCCTCCCCACAAAAAAGTTTCAGTGCAATCAGAAGCCAACCAGGGACCGCCTTTCAGATGTTCCTGGAGTGGAGACTGTTGTTGTGTGTCGTCGAGTGGATTCCGACTCATAACGACACTATAATATGACAGAGTAGAACTGCCCCATAGGGCTTCCTAGGAGCAACTGGTGGATTTGAACTGCTGACCTTTTGGTTAACAGCCAAATGCTTAACCACTGTGCCACCAGGGCTCCTGCCAGTCTAGGGTGGGTTCTAAACCTAATCACTTCTGAGTTATAAAAAAGAGCAGATTAGACACAGAAGCTCACGTATACAACATGGAAGGTGGATACCATTTGAGGCTCACCAAGGAACAAGGAACGCCAGGACTACTGACAAGGAAGGAATTGTTATGGCTGAGACCTGATTGGGCTTTCAGTCTCCAGAACTGTGAGAAAATAGATTTCTGTTCTTTAAAACCGCCCACTTGTGGTATTTCTGTTATAGCAGCACTAGGAAAGTAAGACACAGGCATGCAGATTTGTTTTATTAAATGAAAAAAAAGAAACACACTGCTATTCCTGCCCTTCCAGATGAATTTAAGATCCTTGCCATGGCTAGAAGCGTGCAACTCCTTTGTCCCCATGACGAAGGCCCATTACCTGTCATGTACACTGCACACTCGCTGGCAGGGCTGGTGCCGGCCCTGTTCTGAGCTGTGACCCAGAACTCATATTGAGTATTTGGCACAAGGTTTGTCACTGAGCAGTATGTTTCTTTGACAGTCATTGTAAACTCTGGAGGAAAAAAAACAAACAAGAATTCAATCCTAAAGATAGGCAAAGTGGCTCCAAATTCATTGTGCTGGATCCCCTTGCTGTAGCTTACAAAACTGGCCACACATTCCTCCCATCCCTGAGCGCACACCTCTCTGCATGAGACTTGCTGCTCTTTCCTTTAAGAGGTGCAGACTTTCTCACTGTCCCTTGAGGCTGGGCTTAGTCATGTGACTTGCTTTGGCCAATGGGATGATAGCAAGCATGATGCAAGCAGAGGCTGGGTAAGTGTAGCACATAGGGGCTTGTCCTCTTGTTGCTGGGAACACTTCCACTACCATGTGAACACTACCACCTGGGTGGTACAAACAGTTAAGCACTTGGCTACTAACTGAAAGTTTGGAGGTTTGAGCCCACTTAGAGGTTCCTTGGAAGAAAGGCCTGGCAATCTACGTCTGAAAAATCAACCACTGAAAACCTTATGGAGCACAGTTCTACTCTGACACACATGGGGTTACCATTAGTTGGACTTGATGGCTACTGTTTTTTGTTGTTTTACCATGTGAACAAGGCCAAGCCAGCCTCCTGGAGGATGAGAGTCCACATGGAGAGAAGCCTCAGTTGTCCACATCACCCCAACCATCCCAGCTGAGGCCCCAGGTAGGTTAGTAGGACCATCCTAGGCCATTCAGCCCCAGCCAAGGTGGCCCAGACCAGAAAACTATCCAGCCAATCCACAGACACATGAGAAATAAGTGTCTGCCACTTTAAGCCACTAAGTTGTGTGTTTAGTGTTGTTGCTCTGCAGACTATTGTTGTTATGCAGCAAAAGCTAACTGACACAAGCCCAAACCACTTAGACTCTTGAAAGGCAGTGATAACACATCAGTCCACCCTCTGGTATCAGTTCCTTTATAACATTTAAAAGATCATAAATTGTCATGATATAACCCCAACACAATAGCTTCTGTGTGTCTGCAGAGGTGCCAACAGGGTTGATTGGGGGCAAAAGCTGTGATTAATCAGATCTGATTCTTGGTCTCCAGCCTCACTTTTCAAAGCTCCTGCCCTCCATGCTTTCTTTACTCCTTATTCCGATCACCCCCACCCTCCCTCATCATAACTTAAACTTACTCTGACTTTTCTCAAGGATTTCCCGTCTTTCCTGGTCCCTGGGAAGAAACTCTGTCCTCACCTCCCAGCATTCAGAACTGTCTGCTTCCATGGCCTGGTCTGACGAGCAGAGCTCTGGACAGGGAGCCTGCAGGCCAGGTTCCTGTCTGGTACTGCCATAACTCAGTGTGTCCCCCTGGACAGCTCATTTTTCTCTAGGCCTCAGCTTCCTCATCCATAAAATGGAGATCTCTAAGTCCCTTTCCAGCCATCTCACCCTGACTCCGTGCACACAGCACATGTCCTGCCAGGCTAGTCCTGATCCTCTGGTCCCTTCAGATGCTCAGCTGGGGCTCTTGTGTTGTCTGGCCCTCCTTTCTCAACAGGAGAATGCTTCTTGATTATTGGAGTTGGGGAGGGTTACCCCAGCACTAGCTCCACACCAACCAGCCCCATTCCCTGGGAAGAGTATGGACCATGGGCTGCCTTGAATGGTGGCTGGAGGCCATTCCCAGGAGCTGTTGCAGTCTGGGAATGCGGATCTGGTCATCAGCACCTCTTCCAGGCAGCAGAGGCCCCTCATCCTTAATGGGGGTCTGCAGACCAGTCCTCTACTTTCTCCTGTAACACAGGGTTGTTCTGAGAAAATCATGCTGGAACTGCTGAAACTCACAGCCAGGGACTGCTCGAGCCCAGCCAGCCCAGCTGGGGCTCCTTAACAAGGGGCGTCCCTGGTCCTTCCTGTATACCATGCAGTAAGAGTCTCATCCCAAGCATAACTCTGAACCATGGGTCTATAGATACATTCCAGAGCCCTTAGCCTGGCCTCACGGTCCTCCCAGTCAAGTCCCAACTCACCTTCCAGCCCTTTCTGCCACTGCTATCTCACCTGCCTGCATCCTACCATCTGACCAAAGGGAACCCCTCATGATTCCCAGCTCACAACAGCTCCATGGAGCTGGGTTTGCAGATCCAGCCCACCTACATCTTCCCAACTGCCAGGAAGGCAGGGCCCAGGCATCCGTGAGTGGGAGTGTGTTCCTGGCAGAGCCTCACCTGCCTGGTCCTCCCGGGGCGAGCCGTCCCTCACTGGCCGGTAGGACAGCTGGTAGCTCTCCACAGTGTCATCGGAGTATAAGCTCCAGCACACTCGGACTGAGGAACCCGTGGCTGAGTTTGGGGCCTGTGGGTTTATCACTGGAGCAGAAGGAGCTAGAAAAAGAAAAGGGGCAGGGTGAAAACAGAAACAAATGAGGACCCTTAAGTAGAAGTGTGGGACAGGAGCAGGCCCTTCCACAGGACCACTTTCCCCATTGCATCTGTGGCCTTTGGGAGTGGAAGAGGTAGCCCAGACTGGACAAGGATGGGAAGGCAAAACCTCCCAACCATGAGCCTGCAGGGAATGACCAGTACTCTATTCCTACTCTGACAAATCCACGAAAGCTCAGGGGAGAGAGGGCAGCGACACTGGGTAGTCTGTCCGTTGTGCCCCAAGTTATGGCTTTTCTGGGCCTTCCATGTCATCTGAAGAGACAGTATAATGAGGACCACAGCACTGCTACCCCCAGCCCTGGAGTGGACAAAGGGCAAGAAGCCTTCAACAGGGGCACCTTGCTTCCATTGGCAAAGCTGTCCAATGACCATCTTCCACATTACAATGAGAGAAGGTTGGGATTGGCCAATTGTGCTTTTCAGAACCAACTTCTTCAGAGTCTATCAAGTTTATTCTTTTCTTCTCTGTAGATTAATATCTCTGTGTTCCCCACCCCCATGGACACATACACAACCAAGAAGAAAATCAAGTAGTGTTTTTCCTCCGTAATTCTCTTCCCATGAAAACACCTCCCTTCATCCCAGGCTTTTAAGAATGTTCTTAGTGTCAGAGCTTTAATTCAGTTAATTCAGGTAAGACCACAGCCTAAACTTAAAGGAGTTCCCTTTGCTGTATTCAGTCCTTTCCTCTCTGGCCAGGGGCTGTGTGAAAGCTGATGTCAACTTGGCTAGGCTATGATTCTCCGTGGTTTGGCAGACACTATGTAATTACTTCTCATTTGTGATCTGATGTGAGCAGCCAATCAGTTGAAAGGGGAGTTTCTTTGTGGATGTGGTCTGCCTCCAGTATATAAATGGATGTTCCAGCAAAGCTCACTCTCTTTCTCGACTCTGCACTCTTCCTGTTGCCTGAACTTTAGCTCTTGGGACATAAGCCTGCAGAAGTCTCTGGCCTTCTGCCTGACCTGCAGATTTTAGGTTCATTAACCCCAGCAACCACATGAGCCCGTGAAGGTCATCAGCCTGTCATCTGACCCATGGATTTGGAACTTGCCAGCCCCCACAATTGTGTGAGCCACTTCTTTACAATTGCGAGAGCCAGTTCCTTGAAGTAAATATTTACGTATACTTCACTGTTTTTGCTCCTCTAAGTCCCCAGACTAAGACAGGCTGGAAGGCCATAAAGTGACAAAGGAAGAAAGAGAGAGAATTGATATCCCCACATGACAAATTTAGGATGCATAGACGATGCCCTTCTATACTCCCCCTCACCAAAAGATGCAGTGTAAAGGGAGGGATGGCTCTGGGAGTTATTAGACCCCTCAGGAGGCAACTGATACAAGCAGGAGGGGGAGAGTCTACATGGGGTCTGGACTCAAGGAGGTGAAGAATAACTGTCAGTGTCTGTCAAGGACTGACATGGGTGATAGTGCTTTTCCTTCCAAATGATCGTTGTTAGCTACCGTCAAGTAGGCCCTGACTCATGGCAATCTCATGCACACCAGGATCAGACCATTGTGATCCATAGGGTTTTCATTGGCTGATTTTCAGAAGTAGATTGCTGGGCATTTCTTCCTTGTCCATCTTAGTCTGAAATCTCCTCTGAAACCTGTTCAGCATCATAGCAACATGCAAGCCTCCACTGACAGATGGCAGGTGGCTATGCATGAGGTGTATTGCCTGGAAATCGAATCCAGGTCTCCAAATGACCAGGTCTGATTATTTGAGCAGAACTATCTGTTGTCACTGTTACATGCCACCAAGTCAGTTCCGACTCATAGCAACCCTATGTATGTACAACAGAATGGAACATTGTCCAGTCCTGCACCATCCTCACAATCATTGCTATGTTTGAGCCCATTGTTGCAGCCACTGTTTCAGTTCATCTCATTGAGGGTCTTCCTCTTTTTCACTGATCCTCTACCTTACCAAGCATGATGTCCTTTTCTAAGGACTGGTCCCTCCTGATAATACGTCCAAAGTATACGAGACGAACTCTCACCATCCTCAGTTCCAAGCAGCACTCTGGGTGTACTTCTTCCAAGACAGACTTGTTCATTCTTCTGGCAGTCCATAGTATATTCAATAGTCTTTGCCAACACCATAATTCAAAGGCATCAATTCTTTTTTGGTCTTCCTTATTCATTGTCCAACTTTCATATACATATGAGGCGATTGAAAGTACAATGGCTTGGGTCAGGTGCACCTTAGTCCTCGAGTGACATCTTTGCTTTTCAACACTTTAAAGAGGTCTTTTGCAGCAGATCTGCCCAATGCAATATGTCATTTGATTTCTTGACTGCTGCTTCCACGGGTGTTGATTGTAGATCCAAGTAAAATGAAATCTTTGACAACATCAATCTTTTCTCTGTTTATCATGATGTTGCTTATTGGTCCAGTTATGAGGATTTTTCTTTATGTTGAGGTGTAATCCATACTGAAGGCTGTCATCTTTGATCTTCGTCAGTAAGTTCTTCAAGTCCTCTTCGCTATCAGCAAGCAAGGTTGTATCATCTGCATATGGCAGTTTGTTAATCAGTCTTCCTCCAATCCTGATGCTGCATTCTTCTTCATATAGTCCAGCTTCTCGGATTATTTGCTCAGCATATAGATTGAATAAATATGGTGAAAGGATACAACCTGGACACACATCTTTCCTAATTTTAAATCACACAGTATCCCCTTGTTCTGTTGCAGTGACTGCCTCTTGGTCTGTGTATAGGTTCCACATGAGCACAATTAAGTGTTCTGGAATTCGCATTCTTTGCAATGTTATCCATAATTTGTTATGGTTCACACAGCCAAAGGCTTTTGAATAGTCAATAAAACACAGATAAACATCTTTCTGGTATTCTCTGCTTTCAGCCAAGATCCATTTCACATCAGCAATGATATCCTTCATTCCATGTTCTCTTCTGAATCCCGCTTGACTTTCTGGCAGTTCCCTGTTGATGTACTGCTATACATTTTTGAATTATCTTCAGCAAAATTTTACTTGTGAATGATATTAATGATATTGATCGATAATTTCCACATTCTGTCAGATCACCTTTCTTTGGAATGGGCACAAATACAGATTATCTTCTAGTTGGTTGGGAGGTAGCTGTCTTCCAAATTTCCTGGCATAGACGAGTGAGCACCTCCAGCACTACATCTGTTTGTTGAAACACCTTAACTGGTATTCTGTCACTTCTTCGAGCCTTGTTTTTCACCAACGCCTTCAGTGCAGCTTGACTTCTTCCTTCAATACCATTCATTCTTGATTATATGCTACCTCCTGAAGTGGTTAACATCGACCAATTTCTTTTTGGTATAGTGACTCTGTGCATTCCTTCCATCCTCTTTTGATGCCTCCTGTGTCATTCAATATTTTGCCCATAGAATCCTTCAAAATTGCAACTTGAGGCTTGAATTTTTTTCTTCAGTTCTTTCAGCTTGAGAAATGCCGAGCACGCTCCTTACTTTTGGTTTTCTAACTCCAGGTCTTTGCACATTTCATTATAATACTTTACTTTGTCTTCCCTAGCCACCCTTGGAAATCTTCTGTTCAGCTCTTTTACTTCATAATTTCTTCCATTTGCTTTAGCTACTCTACATTCAAGAGCAAGTTTCAGAGTCTCTTCTGACAACCATTTTGGTCTTTTGTTTCTTTCCTGTCTTTTTAATGATCTTTTGCTTTCTTCATGTATGATGTCCTTGATATCATTCCACAACTCGTCTGCTCCTTGGTCATTAGTGTTCAATGTGTCAATTCTATATTTTGAGATGGTCTCCAAAGTCAGGTGGGATATACTCAAGGTCATATTTTAGCTCCCATGGACTTGTTTTAATTTTCTTCAACTTCAACTTAAACTTGCATATGAACAGTTGATTGTCTGTTCTGTAGTTGGTCCCTGGCCTTGTTCTGACTGAGGATATTGAGCTATTCCATGGTTTCTGTCCACAGATGTAGTTAATTTGATTCCTGTGTATTCCATCTGATCAGGTCTATGGGTAGAGTCACCATTTCTGTTGTTGAAAAAAGGTATTTGCAATGAATAAATCGTTGGTCTTGCAAAATTCTATCATGTGATTGCCAGCGTTGTTTCTATCACCAAGGCCATATTTTCCAACTACTGATCCTTCTTCTTTGTTTCCAACTTTCGCATTCCAGTCACCAGTAATTATCAATGCATCTTGATTGCATGTTTGATGAATTTCAGACTGCAGAAGTTGATAAAAACTTTCAATTTCTTCGTCTTTGGCATTAGTGGTTCGTGTATAAGTTTGAATAATAGTCATATTAACTGGTCTTCCTTGTAGGAGTATGAATATTATCCTATCACTTCAGGATAGATCTTGAAATGTTCTTTTTGACAACGAATATGGTGGCATTCCTCTTTGATTTGTTATTCCTAGCATAGTAGACCATATGATTGTCTGATTCAAAATGGCAAATACCAGTCCATTTCAGCTCACTAATGCCTAGAATATTGATCTTTATGCATTCCATTTAGTTTTTGTTGACTTTAATTTTCCTGGATTCATGCTTGGTACATTCCAATTATTAATCAATGTTTGCAGCTGTTTCTTCTCATTTTGAGTTATGGCACATCAGGAAATGAAGTTCCTGAAAGCTTGACTCCATCCACATCATTAAGGTCAGCTCTACGTTGATTAGGCAGCTCATCCCCAGTCGTATTTTGAGTGCCTTCCAACCTGAGGGGCTCATCTTCAGGCACTATATCAGACCATGTTCCACTGCTATTCATAAGGTTTTCACTGGCCAATTCTTACAGAAGTAGACTTCCAGGTCCTTCTTCCTAGTCTGTCTTAATCTGGAAGCTCCACTGAAACCTGTCCACCATGGGTGACCCTACTGGTATTTGAAACACCGGCAGCATAGCTTCCAGCATCACAGCAACACACAAGCCACCACAGAATGACAAACTGACAGACAAGTGGTAGAGAATCACCCTAGGAGGGGAAAAGGACCATTCGGTGGGATCACAGCTTAGTAAAATCTTCCTTTGACCCAATGATTCTAAGAGTGGCCCCAAAGATTTATTATTAAGGATGGGGTATAATGGTGAAAAAAATCTAGAAATAGATGTTTCAACAACAATTGAGGACTAAGTAAACAAATTAAGGTACCTCCATATAACTAAATATTTATATAGCCATTAAAATGATATTGTGGAAGAATTTATCTTTTTGAGAAAATATTCATTATTATTGTTTGCTGAAAAAAAGCGGATTTCAAAACAGCATGATTCCATTAAGCAGATTACAAACCAGCATGATCCCATTTTTATTTTAAAAATATAGGCAAAGGAAAAAACTGAAATGATACATACAACATTGTTTACAATCACATTGTTGGGTATTGGTGAGGAAGGGAAAGTGAGAAATCAAAGAAGTCTGAATTCTAGTATTATTCTAATATTAGTAATATTTTAAAGAGTTACCTACTACCATGTGATGTGTTATTACTTCATTTAATTCTCACCATATCCCCACGGGCATTATAATGTCCATTTTACAGGTGAGGAAACCAAGGCTCAGAGAAGTTAGGTAAGTTGTCCAAAATCACAGAGCTAGAAAGTGGCAGAACTGGGATTCTCACCCAGCTCTATATACTAAACAGCCTCCTAGGCAGCCAAAAAGCATGTGATCAGTGTCAATGAGTAAGAACTCATACTCTGTTAAAAGAGATTTACTGAAGGTTCAAAACAGTTGAATCAGGACACATCTGATCTCACAAAGTGAGACCAAATGCTCTGTAATGGTGGAGTCACAGAGGAATATTTATGAGGTAAAATACAACATTCTGACTGGAAGTTGCAAGATTAGGTAACCAAGAGGAGGGACAACTTGAAGTGGGGTTGTGAGGGGCTTTACAGTGATTGGTTGGAAACACCGAATGTGGGCAATTTGAATTTGTTAGTTTAAATACATGATTAAGGAGGGGTTTTACAGGGTGGCAACAAGGTAATTATCTTAAAACATTTCCTGAGGGCTGCCAAGGGGGTTCCTGATAAGGGTGTTGTGTCAAGACCCTCCCTTAGGAACATCTTCCCATATCTTTAGTTTAACCACAGAGAAAAACGTTTCCTTTGTTATATACTTAAGTCTGACTAAGGGTTTGATGGTTGCAGGGGAAATAAGCAAAAGCTAAAATGGAGTTGGGGCTCATTCCTGGGCCTATCATTCTGACACGAGCCAGGCACCTCAATTTTGGAACTCTCACACGTCAGCCTGCCTCTCTTCAGGAGGAACATAAATATTGCTTTTAAGGAAAAAAATTCGGCCACTTGCTTGTATAAATTCAGCAGGAAGACAAGCGCTTATAAAGCTGAGAGGGCTGTGAATGGAACATATTTTAAGGGTGTCTGGGGCCAGATACTGGCCCCCTGAACAGTGAAAGTGGGTACTTACCTCTGGGAGATGGCCTCTGTTCTAACCCTTACAAGCCATAAAAATAAAAACATGCAATTACAGGGGAAAAAATACTTGTTTCTAAATCTTTGTGATTTCTTTAGCCATCAAAGTGTTTTACTTAGAGCTCAGGGAAATCGGAAATTGCCATGAAGTACGTACTTCATGGTGGAGTCCCTGGGTGGTGCAAACAGTTAATGCTTAACTACTAACTGAAAGATTGGAAGTTCAAGTCTACCCATAGGCGCCGCTGAAAAAATTAGCCATTGAAAACTTCATGGAGCACAGTTCTACTCCAACACACATGGGGTTTCCATGAATTGGAGTCAGCTGGAAGGCAATTGGTTTGATCTGGATGTACGTAGGTAAGATATGCACCTGGGATGGTGTTAATGGAATCCATCAGCTGCTCCACATCTGAGAAGTCCAAGGTCTGGTCTTCAAAGTCAGGGTGGGCAGAAAGTTCCACGTCTGTTTTTGTTTTCAGAAATTTCCCAAGTCTGTTGGTATAAAAAGACACATTCACAAGAAGATGGGCATTCTCCTTAGAGTATGTCTATAGTGCTGGGTTACTAGGAATAAAGAAAGAGGGTATCTTTGCTGAACTTTCATTTCTTTATTTTAACATGTTTGCTGCCTTCTGCCATCTGCTTTGGTGACTGACCTAGAAGGTCATCAGTGGGGGTGAGTGGTGTTGGTTTGGGCCTTTGAGGGGGAAGAGCAGGGACAGGGGTGTGTTTGAGGGGTTCCTGCCCATGAAATCCAGATCCACACCCTCTGCAAGATCCTTTAGTTGCTGACCATGGAAAATCCCACCTCCGTGCCACCCTAGGCCCCAAGCTATTCAGAGGACATATGCTAGGGCTCAGACTCTCTCCAAGTGCCCTCAAATTGCTGACTGGGGAGTGGGGCTCTGGGTCTCCTTGGACCTGCTTCCCAGCAGTCAGAGGGTTTGCAAGTGGCAGAGGCAGAATTTGAAAGCAAGTCTGTCTTTTGCCAAACCCCATCACTTAACCCTTGTACCTCTGAACTTCTGTGTTCATGTTGCTTTGCAAACATTGTCTTATTTACTTATTACAAAACTATCCCTGTTTGTAGATAAGGAAGGTGCTTCTGGATTGAGTTGACTTGTCCAATGTCACAGGGGTAGCAGGATTTGAACTGCTGTCTGACCGACTCTAAAAACGGGTGCTTTCTCTAGCCCCAACAGTCTGGGCAGTCACAGCCTCTCCAGATTCGGTTCCCTCCTCGGTGAAACAAGGGACTTGTGGAGGAGATCTGACCTCAGGCTTGCTGGCTGGGCCTCACCAAATGCTCCCTTCCAGCCCTAAGGTTCTGACATTCAAGACTAGAGGATCCTCATGACCCCACGCCCTCTAAGAAGCCTCCATTCCAAAGCCAGTGCTATTTTATTCTTAGGGTCAGACACAAAAGCTGAAACTGTGATCATATAAGCCCGTTGAAACCAAATCTGTTGCCACTGAGTGGATTCTGACTCGTAGTGCCCCTACAGAACTGCCCCATAGGGTTTCCAAGCAGCAGCTGGTGGATTCAAACTGCTAACCTTTATGGCTGGAAATCAGATAGCAAAGTTGGATATTCAGAGGTGGAAAATAAAATACATATCAGAACAAAAGTATTACCTGTCAGCCATAATCACTGCATTCTAAAAAGGAAGAGAAAAGGAGAACACGTTAAATCGTCCTTGGAAATAAATTTCTTTCTCAAACCACATAGTAATATAAGCATATTTTTAAAACTTGGAAATTAGGGAAAAGAAAAAAATCAGCCAGAAATAATCAGCCATACCTCACCACCTGTGCATTTTCTTCCATATTCTGTGTGATTGTACACACTTGCAGTCACATAATTTATATCCACTGCTTTTTCCCATCAAATTCTGTAAGCACTTTCCACATTACAAATGGTCTTCTGGACCATCAACACGAAAGATTACATAACAGTTCAGCGAGTAGAAACTCCACAGTTTACTTAACTGTTCCTTTCTTGTTGGATATTTTGGTTGTTTCCCATTTCTCACCATCATAAATAATGGTGAGAAGAACACCTTTATGCATATTACTTTTTCCTTGTTCTCGATTATGTCTTTGATCTACAGTGGAACTGTGGTTCAAAAGGCATGTACGGCTCTAATGGTGACAAATTTCTTTCCCTCTTTAGTCCAAGCATGGCAGGAAGGAGAGGCTGCTGGACTTTCAGGAGTGACTTTGGGTGTGGGGAATGAGAGGCCACAATTGACAGCCACAGAAATATTGAGGTTGAGGGTCTCTCCACCATGTCCTGACACATCTGCCCCGTATTCCTGTGGGAACTTAGGAAGAAAGGAGACCCCGTTCTGACTGAGACTGAAACTCCCACAGCCAGCTGCATGAGGGTTTGGGGTCAGTTTAATCTGATTTCAAGAAAAATGATGCATTTTTTTCATTTCTGAGTTTATAAGGTAAGACTTAAAACCGGTACATTTGTAAGTCGAGGACAGTGGTTGTTCGGTGGTAGAACTCTCACCCTCCGTGCTGAGCCTGGGATTCGATTCCTGGCCAACGCACCTCAAGTGCGGCCACCACCCATCTGTCAGTGGAGGCTTGTGTGTTGCTATCATGCTAAACGGGATTAAGCGGAGCTTCAAGACTAAAACAGACTGGGAAGAAAGGTCTGGCGGTCTATGTCTGAAAATCAGCCAGTAAAAACTCTATGGATCACAATGGTCCGATCCTGTTGTGTATGGGATTGCCGTGATGGGGACCGACTTGATGGCAGCTAACAACAACATCACACTTGTATCTGGGAAATCTGATGTGTCTTTTTAGCCTGGACAACTTTCTCCCCAGAGCTATAAGGGGCCATCTGAGGTGGCCAGAAAACTCTCAGGGCACTGTCTTTGCTCAGCTCTAGGATGAGGGGACAGATCTATGGGTAACCAGGACAGAAGGGCAAAGACTCTGCTGTTACCTCAGCAATGGTGGGGGGAATGAGTCAGCAGCTTGTGACCCTTCTCTGCCATGCATGGTGGAGCTACGCAGAGAAAGAGGGTGACAACCTCACCATCATGAACATCCAAAGGAATCAAATGGGAAGAGGACAACTTAGCCTACCCCAACCCTAACTGTCATTCCAGTTCATTATTTCATTTCTTTTCTTTGCATTTCATTACTGACCTTTATGAAATCGACCTTCTCCTCATGACACATCTCCTCTATTGTTTCCATCAGTTCTTTACAGGTTTCAAGATTTTCTCCACATCTGACCAGCTGTCCATACAAGGCTTCCAGCTTCTCTTTCTTTTTCTCCCCTAGAGCTTGTATTTTTTCTTCATATTTTTGAGCAAGTATTTCCAAGATCTCATTGTAATGTGACTCAAAGTTTTGTTCTTGTCTCCCAAAATTCTCCTGCAAGACAGTTGACCTCAGTCATCACTTCTGTGCACGTGACGTGTCAGCCAGAGTAGTTAGAAAATGCTTCTATCCAGGACTATTTTAGCCCCTCAGCCTTGTCTCGTCATCTCTTTCTAGGATGCTGGGGTAGACACTGGGGGAGCTAGGACACAGGAGTCTTCAGCCTAGGACTCTGGGGATAATCTTAACAAGAAGCACTGCTTTCTCTCCTGGAAGCATTTGGCAATCCTCTCCTAGGTTAACCAACTTCCATCAACATGACAACAGACCAGGGAGATTATCAGTGAAAAGTCAGCCTGCTACTGGAAACTTGGACCTTAAACCAGAGATGTTTGTCCTACCTTTTCCTCCTGAGGTCTCAGCATCTCATGTTACTCACCTCCACTCCCTGATGCTTGGATCATACAAACACCAGGATCACACAGATCCCCATCAACTAGGGGAGAGGTGAAGGCAAAAGGGAATAAGGTGCATTACCAGGTGTGTCTACCTAATAGATGAGAAAATACAAGAAGGCAGAGGATGGATTGTGACAATACTTAATCCTGGGGCACAGTGGGTGAGAAATATAATTACAGTATCCTGACTCCTGGTCCCTATTTCTCAGCCTGGAAGCCCAGGAAAGCTCTGCAGGTTCTGATTGATATCATCCTCATCAGATGACAAGGGCATTTCCAAAGAAGGGGTTGTATCAATTATTCAGGGAGTATTTACTGGGCACTTGTTATATGCATAAGACTTGATAGAATGGTGGAAAAGAAAGAAAAGCAATAGATGAACTCCCAGTGTTGAAAATGAAAGGATGACCTTGGAGTCCTTCCTGAGGGTGAAGAGACTTTGCTCTGATCTGCGATTTGACAGAGCAGAGTGTAAGTTTTGTCTTTGGAGCGGACAGGGCCTGTGTCTTCTCTGGTCCTTCCACAGTGTAATAGCTCTCCTCCTTTTTAATATTGGGGGGTAACGAAGGTCTAGCTTCCTGGAAAAGGATCCTGGGACTTAGTTACTCTATGTGAGGTGCTTCTGTTGATACAATCTGAGGCTACATTAATAGAAGTAGAGCATCACAGGAAGGGAGTAGAAAGGGGAGTCCTGTGGCTCTCAGCCCTGCTCTATCTCATCTGGAAGGCTGGATAGAGTTCTAGCATCACAATGGTATGTGACATACATACTAAGGCACACCAGGGAACTGAGACATGTTTGGTGACAGGCACAAAGATGTATTAATTTTATGAAAAATAAGTAACATCAAAGACAGGATGGTGTCTTGCAATGCCTTATCCAAGCTGGTCCATGAAAAAGGGACTCTTCTTGTTCTGTGTAGTTCTAGGGACCCAAGTAATGACCAGTGGGCAGAAGTTACAGAGCAGCAGCTTCTATTCAGTAGTTAGGGTTTGAAATTTTGCCCTTTGACTCAAGAGCCCACATTCTTCCCCATGCTAGGGTCAAGATGGAGAGGGGCCTTCAAAGGATGGGAATTCTGACCCTAGATTCCTAAAATTCTTATTGATCTCTCAGGGAAAGTCTGGAAATTCCTAAATAGGCAAAGACAACACATAAACTTATTTTTTTTTAATCCATACTCAGCTAAAAATATGTTTGCGTTTGAGTGGCATTAACAGGTAGAAGTGCCTATTAAAACAATGGAAAAGTTTTTGACAGTCCACACATAACTTCATGTCATCAGTATTGCAGATACCTCCAACAGCTTAGAATTAACAACCCTGAGAACAGGGAAACAACATGGAACCCCAATGTCTCCAGCTACACAGCCAGTAGCATCAAATAGCACCCAAGGAGTTCTCTCAGTGAATGAGACATTAGCACAAAAATATGAGATAAAAGAAAGCTGTTAATCTCTTTACTGCCTGAGTTCAAATAAGGGGCTTGATGATGCCATCTTTAAATCATCTTTGTTAGACTAGGGGTCTAAGCCATGTACAATTGGTGATTCAGGTATAAGGGGCATGAGGGGAAAGAGAAGCTAATGAAGGAGAAGGGTTGTGACTAGAAAATTTCTGTATTATTCATTCAACAAATATATAAAATGCCTATCCTGAAACATATCTTATAGTAGGACTAGGGATATAAAGACAAAGAAGACCCAGCCTCCAACTTCTGAGAGTTTGCAGTTCAGTAGGGAATATTAACAGGTCATTTGTTCTGTGAGGTATATACCCAAGGTAGTATGGGAGGCCAGAAGAAGGGGTGTGGGTAGCGGGGCAGTCAGGAAAGGCTCCTCACCTGTGATACCTCATGTTCTAAGAAAATAGATTCTCTAACCCATAACAAAGGAGCCCTGGTGGTGCAATGGTTAAGCACTTGACTGGTGACTGAAAGGTTGGCAGTTCAAAACCACCCAGTGGCTCCAGGAAGAAAGACCTGGCGATCTGCTTCCATAAAAATTACAGCCAAGAAAGCCCTATGGGGCAGTTTTTCTCTGTCACATGGGGTCACCATGAATCAAAGATCGACTTGACGGCACCTAAGAACAAGAACAACAACAACCGATAGCAGAAATAGCTGCCGACTCAGCCATTAACGGAAGGAACACGCATATGACAGGGTAATTAAGCATACTCTTACCTCCACAGTGATGAAAACCTCCTCCAAATGACTTGCAAAATTTTCCATCTCAATAATCTGCTTTTCCAATTTGAACATGTTTTTGTGAATTTCATCCTATCAAACAGAGGATCACAAGAAGGTTTTAATCTGATGTCTTTTCTCTCTTTTTTAGAAGGTATATTAGATTTATCCCCTGACAGTATACTTGAGATACAAATGTATTATCAAGAGAAAGAACTAAGGAGGCCTATTTACCTTGGCGTTTTCCAGTGCTTTATCGAGTGGAGTCACCTCATGTTCCTTGTGTTCATCCAAAACCTTCTCACAAGCTCTTATTGGAGTTTTGCAAGTGACACAAAAGATGTCGGGAGCTTCTTCCTCATCCTCCTCCTCTGGGATGACATAGCATTCATACTCCTCGCTGGACCGGCCACGTGTGTACCTGTAGGCTTCCCGCAAGTCCTGGCACTGGCCTCTCGAGCCCCACCCTCCAAAGCTCAGGTCCTCAGCCTCGGCTGCCTCTCCACCAAATCGCCAGTCTCTCTGTTCCCTGGCTGACTCTCTGCTCTTCATCACATAAGGAGGGTAGTCTGAAACCCCTGTCCTAAGGGTGTTTTCACCAACAAACTCATCTCCTAATTCGTGATCATCTTCAAGTCTGTATAAATGGGCAAGTTCATCCACTTCCTCTTGAAGATCTCTTTGAGCCCTACCTTTTGCTGCTGCTCTTGGCTCCTTGGTCATTTCAGCTTGAACTACTTCTCTTCTCATTCTAGTGTGTTCTTCTGGGAAGAGCTGCACTCTATCTTCAGAGTCATACAGATCCATGTGATAAAATTGGAAGTCCTTGGGAGCAGCAGACCAGTCCAGCCCAGGTTTCTCCCCAGCTTCCTCCTCCATTTAGTTCCGGAAGCCCTGGGCAGCACCTTTGCACAAGAGGGATCCCCCCTAGACAGTTAATAGGGAATATCCTGGGTCCTAGAATACAAAATGAGAAACAGAAATCAGCTTCTGAGAAGGTCATTGCAGTAGGTGGTCATTACACCGAGCTCTACTCATTCACAATTTTTAAACGTCATTTGAGCAGCTCATTTGTGGCTTCACTTTGAACTATCTGCAAAGTGAGGTCTGTGTTCTACCGGAGGCTGGGCTGTCTACATTTAAAAAAGGCAAAAAACATTACAAAAGAAACATCAATAGATTTGACTAACAAAAGACTCCCGTATATAAAAATAACCCAAAAGGAAAAATAATGGGAGGAGTCCCAAGCAATTATTATTAAACGAATTATATAAATTAATTGAAAAAAATTAAGACTTCAGTAGATTAATGTGCAAGGACAATTCACAAAAGAATTGCTTTTGTGTATACTGTTAACTGTAGGGAGCCCTGATGGCGCAATGTTTAAGCACTTGGCTGCTAACTGAAAGGCTGGCGGTTTGAACCCACCCATCAGCTCCACAGGAGAAAGATTTGGTAATCTGCTCCCATACGGATTATAGCCTAGAAAATATATGGGGCCGTTCTACTCTGTCACATGGGGTCACTATGAATCAAAACCAATTAGACAGCACCTAACAACAACAACATAATATTAACTGTACATGCACATTTGGAAAACTGTTCATTCTTATGAGTAACAGAGATAAAATGTCATGCTGCCTTTCTAGTTAGCAAATATTTAAAGATATAAAAATTATACCCAAGGCTGGGTAAGTGAAGTGAACACTCTCAGATGTTGCTGGTTGGAGTGTAAACTGGCCACGCCTTTCTGGAGAGCAGAGGTGGTAACATGCATCAGGAACTTTAACAGTTTTTACACTCTTTAATTCAGTAATCGTCTTCTGGAACACTAAGGAAATAATCTCAAAAACAGGGAGAAAAACTTTTTCTACATAAAAATGTCTATCACAAGGATTTTTATGATAGCTAAAAATACAAAAAGGAAAAAAAAAACTAATGATTAGGAGAATTGCTAAGTAAACTAGGATATGAACAGTCTATAGAATATAATGCAGCCTTTGAAGTATTTATGGAGTGCACATAATAACTTGGAAAAAGACTTACAATATGATATTAAGTAAAACAAACGGAATACTTGTCACATGTAGAATGTGATGTCCACTGTTTTAATGGAGATACATAAAATCTAGAAAGAAATGATCATAACAATAATATTAACCCATAACTTGTTGCTGTCGAGTTGATTCCCGCTCATAGGACACAGTAGCACTGCCTCATAGGGTTTCCAAGGAGTGACTGGTGGATTTGAACTGCTGACCTTTTGGTTAGCAGCCAAGTTCTTAACTACTGCGCCACCAGGACTCCATACAATAGTATTAGTAGTGGTAAATACAATAATATTAGTAGTAAACCCCACTGCCATCAAGTCGATTCTGACTCATAGCAACCCTGTAGGACAGAGTAGAATCGCCCCATAGGGTTTCCAAGGCTGTAAATCTTTACAGAAGCAGACTGCCATATCTTTCTCCTGCAGAATGGCTGGTGGGTTCAAATCGCCAACCTTTCAGTTAGCAGCCAAGTGCTTTAACCACTGTGCCATCAGGGTTCATTTATATTAGTAGTAGCTACTACTTATTGGTGAGGCATTGGTGGTTCAATGGTAGAATTCTCGCCTCCCATGCCAATGCACGTCATGCACAGCCACCATTTGTCTGTCAGTGGCGGCTTGTGTGTAGCTATGATGCCAAACAAGTTTCAGCAGAGCTTCCAGACTAAGATGAACTAGGAAGAAAGGTCTGGTGATCTACTTCCAAAAATAAGCCAGTGAAAACCCTATGGGTCACAACAAAATATTGTCCAAACTGCAATGGATCATGGAGGATGGCACAGGACTGGGCAGCATTTTGTTCCGTTGTGTATATGGTCGCCATGAGTCAGGGCCAAGATGATGGCAGCTAACAGCAACTACTTACTGACCACTTAAACCCACTGCCGTCAAGTCAGTTCCGACTGGTAGTGACCCTATAGGACAGAGTAGAACTGCCTCATAGGGTTTCCAAGGCTGTAATTCTTTATAGAAGCAGATTGCCACATCTTTCTCCTGCAGAGCAGCTGGGAGGTTCGAACAGCTGACCTTTTGATTAGCAGCCCAGGGCTTTAACCACTGTGCCACCAGGGCTCCACTGAGCACTTTCTGCTTGCATTTTCTGTGCTAGGCAGTTTATATGCATTATCTTATCCTTACAGCAACCCTGTAAAGTAGGTACTACTATTATCCCCATTTTTTCAGATAAAGAAACTGAGACTCAGAGAGGTTATCTTGTGCAAGGTCACATGATTAGTAAATTGTCAAACTGGGATTTGAAACTCAGTCTGACATCCAACTACAGTGAGAGCAACAGATCAAGGGTTTCAGTCACCCTCTGTAATCCATTCCCTCATATGCACGTTCAGCATGTTCCCCATAGGCTCCTCCCATTCAATGACAAAATGCAGCGGGGATACTAGGGCAGACCCATTCCTGGTTGATGCTAAACTCCTCTGATGTCCAATTTTGGCTTGTCAAACTTTCCATAGACTCCACTGCAGTCTAGGATGGTTCCGCCCAACCTTCCCTCCCTCTCTCCTTTACTCAGGGTTAGGCTTGCATCACGGCTCTCCCAGCCTTTCTCATCTCTCTATTTTATCTCACACAGATATTTCCTTTAATAAAATACATGCACATGTAATCCATCTTGGTGTCTGCTTCTTGAAAGACATGGATTAACATAGTCTGTTGAATTCCAAAGTCCTTGCTTTCTTCCTGGCACAGAACTGCCACTGTCTTATTTTTTTTTTGTAACAGCTTTATTGAGATATAATTCACATGCCATATAATTCACTCATTTAAAGTGTGCAATTTAAAACCAAAGCTAAGAAGTTTCCTGAATACAATCAAACACTTTGAGGGACAGAGTAGCAGGGGTAGGGGTCTGGAGACCATGCTTTCAGGGGACATCTAGGTCAATTGGCATAACAAAGCTTATTAAGAAAATGTCCTCCATCTTACTTTGGTGAGTGGCATCTGGGGTCTTACAAGCTTGCAAGCGGCCATCTAAGATGCATCAATTGGTCCCAACCACTTGGAGTAAAGGAGAATGAAGAACACCAAAGACACAAGGAAAGTATTAGCCCAAGAGACGGAAAGGGCCACATAAACCACAGATTTCATCAGCCTGAGACCAGAAGAACTAGATGGTGCCTGGCTACCACCAATAACCGCCCTGACAGGGAACACAACAGAGAGTCTCTAATGGACCAGCAGAAAGGTGGGGTGCAGAACTCAAATTCTAGTAGGAAGACCAGACTTAATGGTCTGACTGAGACTGGAGGTACGCCAGAAAGCACGGCCTCTGTATTCTCTATCAGCCCAGAACTAAAATAATTTCCGAGGCCAACTCTTCAGACAGGGATTGGACTGGACTGTGGGACATAAAGTGATACTCGTGAGGAGCGTGCCTCTTAGTTCAAGTAGATACAAGAGACCAAACGGGCAGCTTCTGTCCAGAGGTGAGATGGGAAGGGAGAGAGGGTTAGGAGCTGGTTGATTGGACATGGGGAATCAGGGACGGAAAGGAGGAGTGTGCTGTTGCAGAATGGGGTGAGCAATTAGGGTCACATAACAATGTATGTAAAAAATTTTGTATGGGAGACTAACTCGAAATGTAAACTTCATTTAGACTACAACAATAAAAAAAAAAAGAAAAAAGAAACAAAAAATAATAAAGTGTGCAATTTAGCATTTTTAGTATATTAACAGATATGTGTAACCATCACTACAGCCAATTTTAGAACATTTTTATCACCTCAAAAAGAAATCCTGCACTCCTTAGCTGTTATCTCCCTACCCCCACCCACAGCTCTATAGATTTGCTTCTTTTGTACATTTCGTATAGATGGAATCATATAATATGTGATCTTTTGTGACTGGCTTCTTTCATTTAGCATAATGCTTTCAAGATACATCCATGTTGTAGCATGTATCAATACTTCATTTCTTTTTGTGGCTGAATAATAATCCATTGTATGGATAGACCACATTTTGTTTACCCATTCATCAGTTGATGGAAATTTGGGTTATTTTTACCTTTCAGTTATTGTGAATAATGCTACTATAAACATTTGTGTATAAGTTTTTGTGTGGACATATGTTTTTACTTCTCTTGGACATACACCTAACAATGGAATTGCTGGGTAGAAAGATAACGCTAGGTTTAACTTATTGAGGAACTGCCAGACATTTTCCAAAGAGGCTGCACCATTTAACATTCCCACCAGCAATGTATGAGGGTTCAAATTTCTTTTTTGTTTGTTTATTATTGTAGTTTAAGTGAAAGTTTACATTTCCAGTTAGTCTGTTATACAAAAATTTACACATACATTGTTATGTGACCCTAATTGCTCTCCCTATACTGTGACAGCACACTCCTCCTTTCCACCCCTAATTTCCAAAGTCCATTCAACCAGCTCCTAACCCTCTCTGCCTTCTCATCTCACCTCCGGACAGAAGCTGCCCATTTAGTCTCATGTATCTACTTGAGCTAAGAAGCACACTCTTCAAGAGTATCATTTTATGTCCCACAGTCCAGTCCAATCCGTCTGAAGAGTTGGCCTCGAAAATTGTTTTAGTTCTGGGCTGATGGAGAATCCAGGGGCTGTGCTTTCTGGGGTTCCTCCAGTTTCAGTCAGACCATTAAGTCTGGTCTTCTTACTAGAATTTGAGTTTTGCACCCCACCTTTCTCCTGCTCCATCCGGGACTGTTATGTTCCCTGTCAGGGTGGTCACTGGTGGTAACCGGGCACCATGTAGTTCTTCTGGTCTCAGACTGATGAAATCTCTAGTTTATGTGGCCCTTTCTGTCTCTTGGGCTAATACTTTCCTTGAGTCTTTGATGTTCTTCATTCTCCTTTACTACAGGTGGTTGGGACCAATTGATGCATCTTAGATGGCCACTTGCAAGCTTTTAAGAAGGGTT